CAAAGAGGCAAAACTGCTGGTGAGGAGAATGTGACTACGGAACTGCTGAAATATGGCGGAGAGATTGTGTTAGAAAAACTGGCCACCTTATATACGAAGTGTCTCTTGATGAGAATGGTACCAGAATCTTCAAAAACGACAACATCATCTTAATCCATTAGAAAGAAGACATAGGGGACTTGAACAATTACAAGCCGATCAGCTTACTGTTCGTTCTCCACAAGCTATTTACAAAAATAATACCTAATAGAATTAGGGTGACATTAGAATTCAATCAACCAAAGGACCAAACAGGATTTTGTACAGGCTACTTTACAATAGACCATATCCATACTGTCAATCAGGTGATCGAGAAATGCACGGAATACAACCAACCCTATACATGATTGATTGATTGATATGTGGGGTTTACGTCCCAAAACCACCATATGATTATGAGAGACACAACGCCTATACATAGCCTTCATAGATTATGAGAAGGCGTTTGACTCAGTTGAGACATCAGCAGTGATGCAAGCACTACGGAATAAGGGCATCGACTAACCCTAAATATAAACATATTGGAAGAAATCTACAGCGGATCCACAGCCACCATAACACTCTACAAAGAAAGCGACAGAATCCACTAAAGAAGGGCGTAAGACAGGGAGCCACGATCTTTCCAATGGTATTTACCGCGTGTTAACAGTAGGTTTTCAGGGCCCTAGATTGGGAAGAGTTAGGGATAAGAGTTAATGGAAAGTATCTTTGTAACCTGTGTTTTGCAGATGACATTGCCTGATGAGTAACTCGGGAGACAAATTACAGCTCACGATTACAGAACTGGACACAGAAAGTATAAAATTGTCCTCAATATTACTATGCACTAAACTAAGATAATGTGTAACACCCTCAACAGGAAACAGTGCTTTGTGATAAGTGGAGAGTTATTGGAAGTGGTAAAAGAATATGTCTACTTAGGATAGTTAGCAGCCGCTGATCCGAACCATGAGAGTGAAGTAACTAGAGGAATAAGGATATGGGGTGGATCACATTCCGCAAGCATTCTCAAATTATGAATGGTAATCTACCACTAGCCCTCAAGAGAATGGTATATGAACGCTGCATCTTGCCAGTACTTACCTACAGTGTAGAAATCTGTAGGCTTACAAAGAGGGTTCAGCTTAAATTGAGGACGACACAGCGAGCGATGGAAAGGAAGATTATAGGTGTAACTTTGATTTGTGGGGTTCAACATCCCAAAACCACTATATGATTATGAGAGACGCCGTAGTGGAAGGCTCCAGAAATTTTGACCACCTGGGGTTCTTTAACGTGAACCCAAAAAGGAAAGGAAGATGATAGGTGTAACTTTGAGTGATATGTGGGGTTTAATGTCCCAAAACCACCATATGATTATGAGAGACGCCGTAGTGGAAGGCTCCGGAAATTTTGACCACCTGGGGTTTTTTAACGTGCACCCAAATCTGAGCACACTGGCCAAGAACATTTTCGCCTCCACCGGAAATGCAGCCGCCGCAGTCGGGATTCAATCCCGTGACCTGCGGGTCAGCAGTCGAGTACCTTAGCCACTAGACCACCGCAGCGGGGCTGATAGGTGTAACCTTAAAAGACAAGAAGAGAGCAGAGTGGGTCAGGGAACAAATCAGGGTTAGGAATATCATAGTTGAAGTCAAGAAGAAATGGATATGGACCAGGCATGTCGCGCATAGGCAAGATAACCACTGGTCATTAAGGGTAACTGACTGGATTTCCAGAGAGGACAAATGTGCGAGGGTGACAGACTGATGAAATTAAAAAGCTTGCAGGCATAAAGTGGAAGTAGAAAGCACAAGACCGGGCTGATTGGCGGATCATGGGAGAGGCCTTTGCTCTTCAGTGGGCGCAGTTAGGCTGATGCTGGTAATGAACAGGAATGTGTGGAAGACCCACCTCCATAGCCTTCACTCCACTGTCAAGATGAGCTGTGCCCGAGTATAGAGTGCGAACAGCCTGGCAGTTATTTCAAAGAATCCATTGCGTACATGCTTTTCTCTTATTTGAAAAAAGGCTGTACCACGTGGTCTTTCTCTAACATCAAGTACTAAATGAAAAGATGCACCTCCAATGCACCTTGCTTATGCAGACCTACTACTCTCCATTTTTTCATTAATGTAAACAAATATGAATCACTAGGCATTGATCAATGTACCCACCAATGGGCAAGTTGGCTTATCATGCATTAATAGGAAAGTGACATAAATGACACAGCCATGATGATGACGGGACAAGTGCACTTCCTGCAGGCAGTTGTCCCGCTCTCTTGTCAGTGTTGTTTTTTTCCCTCACTCAGTTATTCCTCTTTGAGCATTGCGATTTTTCATGTAGCAAGATGTTACCTAAGCAGTATGAACAACTTAAATTTAAGTAAAACTTCCGAGCAGTAGCTCTACACCTCCTGGTAGACACACAGAAAGTGACATAGTGCATACATTTGACCTTAAAGTTCAGCAGAGCTAAATGTCCTCCTCAATTGTGCATCACCATAGAAATGGGCATATACAGTATTGGTCTGTAATCTCCCATCTACCCCTACCCATCAGTCGGTGAAAGCTGGCACCTTAAGACTTCACCTCCTGTCACATAACCCTGTCATATACTAAGAGAAATGTGAATGGTGTATCACTGCTTGCTGCGCAGGGGTGCTTCAGGTGGGACACAACCACGATGTGCTCTGCACGGCTGTTGCTGCTATCACTCAACTAGGACAAGCTTGGTTTAACCATTTCAACCACAGATCCTTTTTTTTGCTGCTTTTTGATCAGTTTTGGGGGGAAAACTGTCACAAAAGCAGTTCACTTTCTTTGAATAAAGCAGATGCTGCTCATAAGAGGTGCCTTGGCTGTTATCCTTGAAACTGTCAGTGAAACTACATCTGACCCAATTCTTTCACGAAATTACTATTGTAGCTTGATAAAGGGAGCAGAACCTCGACAAAAATTCTGTACCTCTGATGCTACACCATATAGAGTAGTTCACAGAGCTCCAATCTTAAGAACCCACCTCACAATTTACTGTGGATGCATGTGCATGGGAAGATTAACTTGTAGTCACATAAAGTTAAACCCCTTTATCAGAGGCATGCTCCGGGCAACCATTCTCGTCTGTAGGCATTTTCTTGTTCACCCATATTTTGATGTAGGCACACTGGTGTCTCTTATATCCATTTGTCTCTTATATCAGTGTCTCTTAAAAAAGGGTTCGACTGTAATACATACACACTCATGGCAGTCCATCAAATCATGTGTAATGGCTGCTTACCGAATGTTGCGTTATGATCCACAAAACTAATTCAATCTTTCACTGCGCATGGAATGAGGATGAACAAAGAGACACAGAGTGCTTTGTATGTCTCTTTTTTATTCGTCCTCGTTTCATGTGCTGTGAAAAATTGAATTATACTGCACCAACTAGTCCAATGCTCAGCCTTAGTGAATCACACAACTACCTTTAGGAAAGCTACCTTAGGAAGGCAACAAGCAACGTAGCTACCAAGCCTGGCAACACAGTATGAAGTTCCGTCTTCTCTGACAGGGGCTTACACGCTGACCATTGTAGGACCTACTATGGCAAACTTTATTCACCTCACTTGTACTCTGTGTTATTTGCAAAAATAAATGACTCAATGAGGTTACTTTTAATTATGAAGTTTCCAAATTCTTGCCTATTTCTGTGTGATGTCACACTCAAAAAGGACTCAAATTACAGTGGCAACTTTCCCCATGTAAACAGGGCCAAATGTAAAGAACAGTGGAGGCAGAATAAAAGCAGCGGCAGTGACCAATGAAAAAGTGGGAACACAAGAGCATATGAAAAAATTTTAATTCATCTTATAAATCAGATCAGTTACACATGGAAATGAATGCAGTGGCATTTTCTTTTCTATGGTGATTTCCTATGGCAATTAGTAAATTTGTGCATTAATTTAAGTAAATATTATTCATGCCCTGCCCATCATGATGAATAAAGCCTACAAATTTTGGAATAATAAGGAAATGATACTGGTATACATATGAAATGACCTCGCTCCTCTGAAAATGACATTGAATAACTTATCAGGTTAATGATGTTTTTTTACACCTTTATTTCAATTCTATCTTGGCATGCCAGCAAAAATGTAGAATTATGTGCCAGCCCACAATAGGAAAACTGCGGTGCTGCCCCTGATGCAACACAAAAAACACTCACTTTTACTGTCAAGCTTTAGATTCAATGGTGTATATGAAGGCACACATCAATCATTTGTATGATTTTTTTTCAACAATACAAAAAATCCCATTACAGCATCACCCTCTGCCCCAAATTTTTAGGGTAGCTTCTTTCATGCGTCTCATTGTAAAATAAGGTCAAAATGTTATTTGGAGCAGGGATAGCCAGCAAAAGCTTGAGGTATTCACCAATACAATAGTAAGTCAAGCTGAAAGGTTAAAACAAACAGCTGTTATTGATTTACCTAAGAGCTTGTTTCGAGGAGCATAAATTAAAAAAGTAAAGTGAAGTTCAAATGCAGTGGCTTTCATACCCACAGCTCAGTGCTAAACTGCCATCTTTAGTGAGCTTGTGACATGTTCACTCAATGGCCCTTTCTTCTGTCTCGAAAATGCTTTACAGCCTTACTCCCAGCTTGTAAAATGCCACCTCTGCTAATCAAGATTACTTTTCTTTGTCTCCCGTCTGTGTCAGTTGCTACTAACAATGGAATATACAGTAGTTTTCTTGGTCAATCACACTTAGTGATAAATTTGCAGGACATAACGTCCACAACACTCTTTGTTGCTTACGGCAACCATTCAATTCACTCTAGAAAAATAATGCTGATGGCAGGTGCACCATCCCTTTTTCTACACCTGCTGGAGTTAGAAAGTTGGCCAGTCAACATGCACTGCTGAACAAAAGAAAGTTCTTTCATTAAAAAATATTAATAATGAAGGTAAAATAGGAAGTCATCTTTCGGGACGCACCGCTCTTCGCAGAGATCCGCCTCATGACGTTCAATCTGTGACCTGGGAAGTTCACTGGAGCAGAAATGACATTCGGTGGGCAGTTCACAGACTGCTTTCTCAACAGCAAGGTTTCGTGAGCAGAGCTCGCGACTGATGACTGTCCTGCAGTTGGGGCAGGTGGCGGTCTCGTCACGGAGACGCGCATCTGCCAGGAGATGAGTAAAACAACCGGCACACATCAAGTGGCCGTTGGTGCACTGCAAAACCACAGCAGGGAGAGGAAAATCACCATGGTTGCCCCAGCAGAACGCTCTCCTCTTGGGAAGCTGCTCCATTAGAAAACCTTGCAGGGAGGGAAAAAAAACTGCAACAAAAGTGATCAGACAACACAGAAAGGCCCAGCCTGGAACCTGGGCACTTGCCACACCTATGTGCATTACCACAAACACCCTAAACACGCACATGGCAGCAGCACAGAAACAAAAAAAGGAGAAATAATGCATCAAAAATACTGTTAACCATAACCAAAGTCATGTCCAAGTCCTGGGGAAAAGGTTGCAGTAAAAGCTACAATAGCACCAGATGTTAAAGGCCAACAGTCAAGTAGATTATTGCCACAGACACACACACACATGCAAGCTCCCCAGCTAGGGCAAGTGTGCTCGACAGGATCTTCTGGTCTACGAACCTGAAAGAGGCAGAAAGATATATAAAAAAGCAAGCTGTATTACAAGAAGTTTAGACAAAATCCTTAACTACAACTTGAGAACTTACCTATTCTACATTACCTGGAGACATTAATTTGTCAAAAAAAGCCAGTCCCACAGCCTGTCCCAGCTACACAGCATACTATGCTGCTCCTTGACAGAACAAAGCATGCCATTTGACAGGGCAGTCCTCAATCTACAGCCATGTGCCCCTAATTTAGGCAGCAATTGGTTCTCCATGCCCAGCATAAATGTGAAACTATTCACACTGAAGCTTACAAAATGGAAGAAAATTATCTGCTTGAGAATTGCAAGCAAGTCTCATCCATTTAAACCCATCATATGTGCAGTCAACACTACCTAGTCTGTTAATCTATTGCGTGGGCATGCTACTCTGAATAAACAGAGATCTACTTTGGAATTGGGCTCGGAAAGCAGATGAGTGCAACTATAACATCCATCTACCAACAATAATTACACACTGCCTGTATCAAGTACTAAGCTTTACGAGTGAACAAGTGCAAGTGTCTATAGACCCCAGCCAAGGTTAATACCTTATGTATTGTGCTTGCAACTACAATAGATACTTTGAAGGGGCATGCAGCTCCTCGATGAATACTGCCGGTGTCAAGGGTCATGCCAATTAAATTATTGGAGGCACTCATTCTGTGATGTGGCAGTGCATACTTACCCTTTCTCAGAATAAATTTTGATATCGTAACTACTTTAGCCTTCTCAGACACCTGATGAAATGTCTTCCAGCTAGCAGTGCATGCTAAATCTCATCAGCTCTCGGTTTACAGAATGGCCTTGGAGCATAGTGTAGTCAGGGCATGCTGCTAAATTTGGATGTGCCACACAGAGGGTGTCAAACATTGACTATAATAACACTTCAGGAGCTGCAATCAGCAACATGCAGTCCTTGCTGCCCCTTGAAGCAGCCAAGGCAGCACTGCATGTGCACAGTGTCTACACAATAGAACCAACACCATGTGTATGCTTTGGTTGTGTTTATTGCACCACCAGTGATTCTTTTACAAAAATTGTACATATACAGTTCATGGGGGGCGTGATATCTGTGATAAGAACGGCCCAAATCTTCGTGAATGGCCCGTGCATCTTCGTCTTTCGACCATGACATCGCGTGTGACGGCACAAGTCCGGGAATACACGTTACGTAAAGTCCTTCAGTCCACATAGTTTTTCAACACAGAACTCGATCAAAATCGGGCGTGGGTGCCACTGATAAACTGGAGAGCAGCATTTTTATTAACTCGGCAAGGATATGGGTCAGCCACACTACAACAACGAAATAACTTGCAACTTCTGACAGCCACAGTTCAGCAGTGAAGTTAGATGCGTGTACAGTAAGCTTAACAGCTGCTAAATATGCTACACCACAACGAAACTTAAAAAAGAAAAGCACTTCCAATCACCGATGACACAATTTTTCCAGTCACATAACGCAAGCACAATGAAAAAATATAAAGTAAGGAAATACATATATAAAAAAGAAGTCTAAACAGTAAAGAAACATGCCAGGACAAAAAAGAACTTATGGAGAAACAAGATACATTCGTCGCCGCGTACCTCTACATTGCAACCCTACACCGCCCCACTGAGCCGCACACTCCGTCGAATGAGCGACCATGAAAGCGGCGCGTTTATTCGGCCGCGACGTTCACAAGGGCGGGAGGAAGCTGTTACGAGCCTGCGATTGGATCTGCGATCAGCTGATCTCCCACGTACCTGATAAATGGCGGTGCGGGGCAGGTCCAAGCATACCGCGCAGCAAAGAATGCCGCCCAGCCTGTGCTCCAATTTGTCAGACTTGCCAGGCGTTCTTTCGCCTGCCTTGAAGCGCTTCTTAGCGGGTCCGTCTGGTTCAGCCAAGCATTCGTCGCTCGTCGATTCTGCCAGCTCTGAGCCCGACACAGAGCTGCCAGTTTCGTCGGCCATTTTCTGCCTTCTGTGGGGATGCCGTTTGTTTTGATCGCGACAGAGAGAACCAGCTGTTCTGTACGCGTCACACTTTTTTCATCCAATGGGATCACGCAAAGCACATCACGTGGCTTTGACCGGCCACTGATCGACACGCCAGCATTGCGCAATGTCTTCTCCTTTCCCCACCTCCTTCCTATAGTCGTGGGGCGGGTCGGGTACCATGGCGCGACGTGCGCGTGTTGCTCGAGGTAGACGAGAGATCACCTAACAAGTCACGCCAAGGTCGTGCGAGGAGTTGCTTCTAACACTAACACGAGGCAGAAAGCATTGGTATAATTCCGGCGTAGCATTTAAATGTGTGACAAGCGGAGGTTCGGATGACAAAATGTAATTTTCATTTCGTACAGCTGAGTCATAGTGATATGACACTATGCAGCACATGGTTTGGCAGCCATTTATTGCCACATAGAAGGGAACAAATGCACCACGACTTGGCGCAAAAACCCTTCAAGCATATGCAGCGCCATTCTCAGGTACTGGTGCTCAGACACGGGTGTGATCGCCAACAGGCTGCGTGCAATAATTAAATAACATAGGGTTTGCGGATGCTGTGCCCACTATAGATACTAGTATTTCTCAATATTTGAGTGCAATGTCACTCGTGTATTGTGCGGCAACTTTGTTACAATGCAACCACAAGCTTATAAATATACAGAAGCAAAACACATATATGTACTGATCACATCACACTGAGGTGTAATGAAATTTCTCGAAAGCATGCACTTCATGTCATACTCATGCACAATAAGAAATGGCATAGTTAATGCAGGCCGAAATTTAGCAAAGTGAAAAGAATGGCATCACTCTAGCTTGTAATCTAAAGAATAAGACCAGAAAAAAGAAAGCATACATCCTTCAGTAATCACACACAAGTCCTAATGAACACACAGCACTAAATATACTACAATAAACAGGTTTAGTTCAACAGACGTGGCAGATTTAACATTTTGGCAACCCAATACCTTCATCTCTTCATTACTTTTGACCTGTCACTGATACACAGAAAACATGCTCCTATCAAATATGAATTCTATATTTTGAGGACACCAAAAACTTGCGTTCAAACATTTTGGTGTGATTTAATGGATGACAATTTTTTTTTCCTCACACGAATCTTTGACTACATGAATTTCTGCAGTCTATGTAGATTTGAAGCATGCATCTATGAGCTCTGTTTAAATATCTGCCAATGATGCTGTACTAAAGTGCATCACTGAATTTAACATAAGGCTCACAAACACGCCAGTCTCTGATTGCAAAAGACTTCAATGGGCAGGAACTATAGTGTGATGTTGTTGAGCCAATTTAGGTTCATACAGCTCTCACTTCACCCTGCTGCAGATTTAAAGTGTCTGGCAAATGAAGCAAGCCAAACACTACCTTTTTTTTCCAGACACTCAGAGGCTCATCTCCTCTCATTACACCAAATTCTCTTCAGTGTGAGAAATTCCAGCACTATGCAATAACAAAATAAGTAAGAATGTGAAATAAAAAAGGCAGAAATTATGAATGCAGTTAGCACAAAAAAACGTTTATGCCATATCGGACTGCCATCTTGAAATGAGCAGTAAAGGGGTAAAAAAAAACAATCTGCCAAAATTGGTCAATTACTTTTCCACAATACTAAAGAGTTTACTATGAGCAGATGCTTGGTAACCCAGAAAAAGGTGCAAAAAGGTAAGATATTGGTGGAAGAATTGTGGCTAGAAGATAATCACATTAGCTTGTTGCAACATCATAAATTTTAAAGGTATTTTCTATAGCATTCAGCATTTAGTAATTAAGATAGGCTGAAATATGTTCTAAATTAGCCAAATAATAAACAGGGCAAAAATCAGACACATCTGAGGAGCAAATGCAGCTCAAATACATAAGAATACTTGCAATTAGGGGCATCACACCGAGGCACAACCACAGGGCTTACAGTGCAGAATTCAAAAATTAGATCTGTGGCCTCAATATTCTGTTATAATAACCAACCTAGCACTGGCATAGCTGGGGAGCGTGAGGGGTTCAGCCCCCCTCGAAATTTTTCAGTTTTACATGTGCATATATACATGCACCAAGACAAATGTACACACAAACATGCATAAAGTACGATTCAACTGCCCCCTCCCCCCCCACCCCCAAAAAAATTCTGGCTATGCTACTGTAACTATAGTATCATAAAATTAACAATACCTTATTTTTGCATAACATACTACATCAGTCCAAATGGTTCATTGTCCCTTTAGGCCGATACCATTGGCTAGTGATAAGGGCTATATTAACCAAAGCGGGCACTGTGGAGATGTGCTCAAAAGAAAACAAGCAGTCTGTATGTGACCTAACTCCTTCTCCTCGCAAAATGTGCCACATGCAGGTGCATATTGCAACTTGAAAGTATAATATATGTGCTTTAATTACATTCCATAGGATCCATTTAGGATTATAACTAGTTTAAGTGCCCTTTCCCAAAGGAGAAAGATTTAAGGACTGGTGAAGCACCAGCCTCATGAATCCTATAAAGAAGACATCTGTGAAAAATACACCAAGGCCAGGACAAAGCAGACATTATATCCCAAACCTTCCCTCTTATATGCACTTGTGGCATAGACAGTTATCCCATCTTATGATCATCCCATCCCATCTTATCCCATCTTATCCCATCTTATGATCAAATGATTTTGAGCAGTGGATGTTAAGAAAGGAATCTAATCAAACACAAAAAAGTTCTTGTACAACAACAGCCATATAAGCCTCATAACTGATGCCTCTATAGTAATCGGTTGCTTCTCTAATTTTTTTTTCTTACTGTCTGCGGCTTGTGGATATATTATGCAGTACAGATAATTTATTCATATTTCTTCAATTTGCATTTATTCAATATATATGTATATTCCTAACAATCAACCATCGAGTATGGGCGATACCAAGGACACTTTATATACAACCCTTACTGTTCTAAGTGCTATAACAAGTTTTATGCATGCAAAAAAGGAAAACTTAGTGATTAGTTTGCTAGTGAAAAAATTGTTTAGAGGATTTATAACTTTGCATTTCCATTATTATGGCACAAAGACCTTCTTACATGAACTGTCAAGCAAAAAACATCTTGAGAAACAAGAACCTGTTAAGTGTTCACATTTAACACACCTATGTACATTTTTTACATGAAGTGGTTTAAAATTTCTAAATAAAAAATTTACAGCAAGAAACCTGTGTAGTCCCAAATGAAGGTCTCTGAAAGTGCCCATATATTTCTATGGCCAAACCTTTTTCTGTTTTGACTTAGAGATAAGTTCTAGATGGATAATCCTACCTCAACTGGTTAGTTCTGTGGTCTTTATGCTTAGAAAACCTAAGTTTTTGATTGTGCAATACACGAGTTCACAGTTCATATCAGGAGGGCGCTCATTGCAACTCATTTTTTCTCATGATCTTACAATGCAAATGAGTGCGACAACCAACAAAAAAATAACCAGTTCCACTTTATGTGCATGCCTTATATGTGCTGCAGTTTTTTTGGCACTGAAAAAGTAAAGATTGTGTCAGCTGAGCTGATATCTCAATGTAGGTCGGTTGTAAAAGCCATGGAATGGGGTGGTAGTGGAGAGGTTTCACTTACAAGTTTATCATGAGATCATTTGTCACCTTTATCATTCACTTCAAGACTTATATGGTCACTACATGACTGAAACATTTCAATTAATTAAAGTGCAAGTATGTTTACATGCTACACAAATTTAATGTCAGTTACTGTGTTGTGGCAAGACCGAGAGCTTCGTACCCGAGCTCCAACACACATAACAGTAATGAAGAAAACCCTGGACCAATGTGTAACAAGGAACTTTGGGGGCTTCGTACAAAACAGGAATATAATCTTTCAGCAAAATATTACGTAAATTGAAAGCAGCAATGAGCACCAAATTATGCTGCTAAGTTTTATGTATATTATCAGCAGAACACATATGTGTAACAAGCGGCATTCATGACCTAAATTTCCACAGCATCTGTTTCAGTCAGTTATGCTAGGGGTACTGAGGGCATAGAGCATAAGCTACCAAATTTTTAGCTTGACCTAGGCAAAGTTTTCTTTGAAGCCATAAAGTGGGGTTTGGCACCCCTTTGACATCTGCCGTTTAGAATCTCCTGAATGCACTGACTGAATGGTGGCACAAATGGCAGTGGTGATGACAATTCTATCATATGCCATGCACAGCTTGTTGATGCCAAAATACACATCATAGAATTGTTATTTTCTTTTATTTAATCCTCCTTTCTTCTCTTTTTCTTTCAATCAAAATCAGTGCAGTAAGTGCACTTGGTAAACACTGGCACATTTTGAAACATGTTTCGTTAGCATCCTTGCATTCTGTGTCTCTGCCACATATTCTTCACTAAAAAACTAATAGCTATGATCACCAACTAGCTCAAACTAATGCTTTGCTCAATGGTTTCTTGAGCACACATCAAGAAAAAAGAGTGGCTCACAATAAATGATTTTTTTGCCAAATACAGCTACAGTGTTCTCACGGTGCTTCTTTTTTTTTCCCGTGTTCTTTTAGGGGCGAAGCTCCTAAAGGCATGGGTCTGTCTATTCCTTGTTTGTACGTAACCGCCTATAGTTCCATCTTTGCAAACTGCCCACCACTTCGTCTTTGCAAACATCCCACTACGCCCCATCACCAATCCACCACTTCACCGACCATAAAGCAAATACTGTTGAGAAATAGTCAATATGAAATGCAAGATGTTCATGTACTACTTGTATCTAGATGTGCGTTAAAGAACCATAGATTGTCTGACTGTGTCCATCTTTTGTTTGTACGTGACCGCCTATGGTTCCACCTTTGCAAACTGCCTACTACTTCATCTTTGCAAACATCCCACTACGCCCCATCACAATCCACTATTTCACTGACCATAAAGCCGTTATAATCAAGGGCAAACAGAGGCGACGTATAGCTACCAC